TATATATAATGAATATAACAAGGGTCTATCTTATCTAATATTTATATAATATTTAGCTTGATGATAGCGTATATGACTGATACTGACGTGTTTGAAGGTTTTCCTGGTCCGTTTGTGTTCTCTCACAGCCAATGAACAAATGCTGCAAAGTGTGGCAGTTCCTTCGAAAGTTTTTCCGAAACATGTTAGTATTTCTTGTGAAAACGGAGAATCTGTGAACGCCCGGCTACAGGAATTACTGCTTTTGCAGCCGCAGATTGTACAAGCTTTTTTCAACCTTTTTTTTGCTGGTAATACACTGCTGAGAATGCACAGTAGATAGAAAAAACGCAGTAACGTTATAGCGTAAATATTTCTTGAGTTTCCCATCAGTTATTTTCGTTTGGCTTTGTTTATATATTTGTCGGCATTTAAAAATGTTTTTCTATGGGTTTTAAATTTCGAACGAATAAGTCGTGGGTATACATTATTAGTCTTCAGTTTAAATAATGATGATGACGGCGATTATGACGGTGTTTTTATTAAAAAGCACATGCATTTATGTTAAAAAGCACGTGTTATTAATCTCATAAATATATTATATTTATGTATTTCTATATCATTTTTTATAATGGCTGGCGGTGTTGATGTGAGTGCAGGTGTTGTTGTTAATCAAGTTCAAGATATAATTATTTTTAGAAAAGCTCCAACAAAACGTGATATTAGAGGTATGTTTTATTGTCAACAGAAGACATACGTACGACCATCGGATGTTGATTCTATGTTTACATTCGTTCGACTACTGAGAGTTCATCCTTCAAGAAATCAGTTGACACAAGCAAGTTGAGTGATGTTTATTTATATGGTTCATTATATTTTAAAGAGCGATATTGTGGAGATTCTTACTCTGTATGCCAATATACGACCTGGAAAATATTGTATAGAGATTCCACTTTATTTTACAACTCATAGTGTTCATGTTTACGAGGAGTATGTTGATGTGTGGGGGCACCATAGAGATGTGTTAAGATTACCACGTGGAATGTTTAAATGTGACTCTATTGTTCAGATTGAGGATAAACTTTATGGAATGCGTACATGCCAAGATTATAAACTAATACATAATGTTGTAAGGAGTGTTTATGTTGATATGAGAGCGAATCATAATTCAAATTTTATTTGTGTTGGTTCTTCTCTTGTTAAGAAGTTATGTACACATATAGATAGCGATGTATTATTGAGTGTGGTGATTTCTAGGCAATCATGGAGTCTAAATGAAATAACAAGGGTTTGGTTAGTTCGTATAATACCACTTGTTTTTATGGAATGAACACGTGTTTTTAGAGAGTATAAATTTTGATGTATTGTAGAAGCTTTTTTAGAAGCGCGTGTTAGTTATGAGATGAACAGAGAAGATTTTAATCATTAATGTAATTTATGACGAACTTTGTAAGAACATTGTCGATATTGATGTTGTAACTTTATCGTTTCATGTTGGAGAGATTTATGAGAAATATACAGATACTTATAATGAGATTTTGGAGGCGTTATCTTATGAGGATTTATTTAAGATATGGGAATTGATGCGTCCTAGCAGTTTTGGACATGTTATATCTTACTTAACGTTGGTGTACGCAGCGGGGAGTGTTTCTGAAGAGGAGAGACGTAGAGCCACGAGGATTTCAGTGCCGGTGTTAAAAGCTATTGATTTATCACCATACAGAGAACGAGCAAAGAAGAAGAGGAGGGAGATGTGGAGTCGTTTTTTCAGAATGAGACCACTATTGTTTATATGTATAATTATGGGTTATTTATTATATATGTTATTGTGAGAAGTATAAGAGAAGTATACGAGAAGTATATATGTTTATTTAATTCATTTATACTTTTACTTTCATTATGGATGTAAGGTTTAAGGTACCTGCAAATTTCTATGTATCGGGTCAAAGTCAATGTGGAAAGTCATATTTAATACGAAAAATATTATATCATATTAATGAGATGTTTCATCCTGTTCCATCCAAGATTATTTATTGTTATGGGGAATATCAAAAGGAGTTTGATGATTTATATAACATAGAGTTTGTAGAGGGATTTCCCTCTGATCTGAATGAGATGAAAAGGGGACACAAACAGTCATTAATAGTTTTGGATGATTTAATGAGTGAATGTTCTAAGGATCAACGTGTGTCTGATTAATTTACGTGTGGTTCACACCATAAAGGCATTTCTGTTTTTTATTTAACACAGAATTTATTTCCTCCCGGGAAATTATCAAGAACTATTAGTTTGAATTCACATTATTTTATTGTATTCAAAAACCCTCGTGATTCTCTTGGGATTTCAACTTTGGCCAAGCAGATGTTTCCAAGACGTACACAGTATTTATTGGATTCTTTTAATGATGCAACGAAGGAGCCTTTTTCATATTTATTAATTTATTGTCATCCCCACACTCCAGAGAGTATTAGTTTACGTACAAATATTTTACCTATGGAGAGACATATTGTATATATGCAAAGGTAGAGTGAATATTTATTCATTTCTGTTATTCATTTGAATTAGAATGACATCAAGAAATATATCTGTTTTTATTGCTGGTAATTCCAGGAAAGTGACATTTAAGGAGCCCTCCTTGACACGTGAGGGATCTACTATTGTTGTGAAACAAGTTACAGTGTTTTGGAAGTTTAAGAATATCACAGACGATAATAATAAACTCACGATTGTAAAGAGTAGCGGGGAGGAGGAGAAAACACTTGAGACTGGGTATTGGGATTTTCAACTTTTAAAAGAACGTCTGAAAGGAGAGCATATTACACTTTCACCTAATGTTCATGACAATACATGCACTATTAATTTCGATTCATCAAAAATAACTTCGGTGAAATTAAAGAAGTTTGGCAAGATACTTGGTTTTCCGGAGAATTATGTTTTGAGAGTAGAGAAGAAGTCACCAAAGCCTGTGGATGTAAATCATGGTTTGAGATATCTTACGATCTCGTGTGATCTTATTGATTCATTCAGAAGTGTCGATGTTGAAGGTGGAAAGAGTACGGTCCTTACATATTTACCTGTTACTCCAGATACAAGACTGAATTCTTCTATTTCGGAGTATACAAATGAGAATTATCCAAAAATTCCAATTCAATGGGATATTGTTACTGAGATGACATTTACCGTTGGTTCTAATATAAATGTTCCAGTGGATGTTGATGTTCTTTTAAATCTTGTAATCAATTTATAAATATATAAATATTTTTAATAAAGTTTCATTTACAAGATGTCAGAGTATATAGAAAGAACTCTACCGTTTATACAGGTGTTAACGAAATCAAAACCTCAAATACAAAAAGCTATTTTTCAATACGGACCATCGGACTTGATTTTAGCACTTAGCAAGATTGTTTTGAACACACTTAAAGGGGTAATTCATCAGAAGCGTTGCTTAACGCGTTACAAGAAAGAACTGCGTGCATTAGTAAAGAGAAACGTTTCAATTAAGAGGAAGAGGAGGTTTTTAGTTCAAAAGGGTAGCGGTTTTCTTTCGATACTTGTGCCATTAGCTTTATCTATGTTATTTGAACAGTAATGAAGCGTATGGTATTAATTCCTGAGGAGAGACTTTTACGTTATGAACAACGCGACAGCAAACAAGTAGGAGGTCAAATGGAGAACTCGTCTCAGGAGCCAGAGAACGAGTTAACAGATGATATAATTGTACGTGGGATTCCGAAGACCATGAAGGCAAGAGCTTTAGCCCTCTTGGAACGTTTGAAAGCAAGATTTGATGTTATTTCTTGGGATAATACAGGGCAAGTGAAGATAGATGGTGTTCTTATCCCAAAGTCTAATATTTCCGATTTGATTTCGGATGCTATGAGATCTCGTAAGTCTTTTAATCCTGAGGGTGTACGTGAGCTTTTTCAAGTCCTAAATAAAATCAACGTTCCAAGAGATTTGGTAAGAAATGACGAGAGATGGAGAGATGTGGGAAGTGGGGATAAGTATGGTGATAACATTCCCAAGAAGAGAGCGTCGTTTGATCTTTCAGAGAGTGAGGATATGGCACAAAAGGGAAGGGGTTTGATTTTGGGTTAAGTTTCTTTAATAAGGTGGGAAAGAGTTTTAAGGAGGAGATGGATAAGGAGAAAGAGAAGAAGAAGAGGAAGAACCAAAAAGGGGGAACTATTTTTAGACAGCAGGATTGGTTAGGGATAGGTCCGTTTGATAGAAGATTTTCAGTCAAGAGAAGACTCCAAGAGAGGGGAAATATGAAGAAGAAGACAACTCAGAAGGGGAGAGGAAGATGGAGTAGTGAATGGAGTAAATTTGGTAATGTGTGGGATGAAGCGAAGAAGAGGACGAAGAAATAGAACTCTCTTACTATTATTATTATTATTATTATTATTATTATTATTGATGTATAAAAAATATTTCAAATAAAAAGATTTTTTAAAAAAAGGTGTTTTTTATTATTATTAAAAAAAGGTGTTTTTTATTATTATTATTCTTAAAATAGTTTTTTACAACAAGGATTTTTGGATTAAGCCCACAAACAGGTTGATTAAATATAGTAACATTAAAATGTTTCTTAACATAACATGCTACTTCACAATCGTTCCATGTTGTATTATCCGTAAACATGTTCACAATTTTGTTCATGGTATATCCGAGACAGCGATGATATAGATAGAAGATGCAATATTGACCACATACTTCGGTCCAATGACTTTGTAAGGTGCGAGCATTCCACTTGAGATTTTCAAAGGAGGGTCTAAATATGTCTTTATAATGTTGAGGTGGTTTTCCATAACTATCAAAGAATTCACCGTTTTCTTTTGAAGTAAAATAAAAAAGAACCCAATGCGTTCCAGGTTTTGTACTAGGATCCGTATCGACAATAAATCCACATGGGAAAGTTTTTAAAAATTTAGGTATTTCATCTGCCAAAAACACCCTGCAAAAATATTTTTTAATTATAGGATGATGTTAGGGTACGTTCTTTATTTGTGTAGTATTCATGTAGAGATATCGTAGATTACGTTTCTTTCCGAATCTATTTGTACAACATTTTCAAAGTCTTCATAACATACCAAGGAAATAGGGGCACTTGGAACATCCCCTGCAGCAAACGTAATGTCAAGTGTCAATGAACCTCGTTGCACTGTGTTAAAATAGGGCGAGGCACCACACATATCTGGGGTGAGATCCCATGCGTAGAGGGTAAATCCTTTGTAATAATCCTCTCTTGAGATATTAAGACCGGTATTATAATTCATTTTTCCTGTACCCGAGAATAATGTGTTATATGCTTGAATGAAATTTTCCTTGTTATCTTTATAGTTAAGGACAAGTTGTTTAAATGGTATTTCTTCACCATTTGCTGTTAACGTCACCGATGATACGTTGAAGTGTTTAAAGTTATATGGGTTTTTCGTGAGAACTCCACTAAAAGCGTCAGCATCCACAAAACCGCAAACAAATGTCTTGGGAATGATTCCGGCAAACATATTATCTTTTCTTATTTGTGGAATGTTTCCCGGTATGGTGAATGCTTTACATTCCATGCGTTGTATAGGATAAGTAGCTGGTACCGATTTCAGTGCTAGTTCATGTGCTTTAGTGATGGTTTCATTGACTTTAACTTTACGTACTTTAAGAGTTACATCCACAAGTTTTATTTTAGCATTGATAGGATTGGCATTTTTATCCATCAAACAGAATTTGTCTGAGTTTCGGTTTAGGACTACTTTGAGATCTACCATACTAAGTAGTAATCGTTCCATCATAAATATATCGCAAAAAATCGGTCCGGACATTACCAAGAGTTTTCCGTCTTGAATAGATTTATGACGTTTTGCAAAGCCTTGATTTCCATTTCCAGGTACCATGAATTTTTTGGTTTTTTTAGTGTTTACCCCACTTGTAACATTTGTAACGACTTCCAACGATTTTTCTGATTGGAGACTTCCTGTTTCATCCATTTGTCCTGGGGTATCTTTATAATATAATGCTGAGGTGAGTTGAGATTTTTTTGCCGAGACATCATAATTCAAGGGGTTTCTAAGTAGGCACGGTAAGCATAAGTACCCATAGCTGGAGTAACTTGTTTTCCATTTAAGAAAACATCAACCTGTTTAAACAGACTAGGCATGAAATTGTTTATGGGAGCTACACTTTACGTTTTGTTTTACGTTTTGTTTTACGTTTCGTTTTACGCCCTTTTCCTGCTTGAGGTTTTTTTCTACCTTTTTTCGATAGAGATCGTTTTATCGATGTTTTACGTTTTCTCCCCCCGATTTGACTTTTCTTAGATCGTTTTCTAGATTGAGATCGTTTTCTAGATTGAGATCGTTTTCTAGATTGAGATTGTTTTCTAGATTGAGATCGCTTACATTTTTTTCCACCTGATTGTCTTGGGGTCTGATTTGCTGCTTGATTTAGCATTAATGTTTGTAATGCTCTCTCCAGCGCCATGTTTGTAGCACGCGTTCCGGCTTGTCTTCCATGTGCTTTAGCTGATGCTCTTGAACTTTTTCCCGCAAGAAGATCGTTAATTAAATTTTGAAGTAGACCGGCTCCAACATTTAAACCTATATTGCCCACCTCTCTTCCAATTGGTCTAAAGAATCTTCCTATGCTATGAAAGAAATTTCCATGTCCTTCCTGAATTCTTTGACGATTCATTTTTTTAAAATAACTCTTACGTTTAAAATGTAGTGTTATCAATGCACGTCCACGTTCAAATGAAATAGGTTCATTAGTACTACTCCTTAAAAGAATCTGTATTTCTTCAAAAGATTTTGTTTGAACAGGAACGTAACGTATGTGTTTTATAGAATGATATTCCTTGTCCTTCTTAGAAGGTACAATGTGTAGTAGAGAGAGTGTTTTATCTCCAACGATTTGAGGTTGAATGATATTACAATATACATAAATATCGGTTTCTCTATGCATATTTCCTTTGTGAGTTCCTGTCTCAGTAGTTTCAATCTTCTTTTCAATTTGCGTGTCGTTAAATGATAGAAACCCTAGAATAATGGCTTGATCTCTTCGTAAATTAACTTTATACCCACTTTCTAGAGTAATAGTTACTTTTCTTGAATGTACGCTGAATTTAATTTTTTTCCTAATTTCTTCTGTAAAAGATTTATTAATGTCTTCTACATACTCATTAAGTGAATCGTAATATTTTTTTAATTTTCCCCCTTTCTTTTTTACATCATTTACTGTATATTGAATAGACTCTCCATTCATTTGTACAGATTTGATATGTACAGATTAAGAGTCAAAGTTAAAATCTTTGAAGCCAGACTTAAATCTTAACAGTGATGATTCTGTCTTCAAAACACTAGGTAGTTTATTAGAAATAACTGCCCCTTGGTAAGCAAATGTTTTCTTTCCATTTTCAGTTCGGATTTTTGGAAGGACAACATTTGTGTTATTCGCACATGTAAATTTAGCATGTGCAACTCTTTTAAAATAATCCTGAAAGGCTTTTGGAGCTATTCCATTTAAACATTTAAAGACCTCAAGTGCACAGGACCTATTTCTGATTTCGTTCACACTTGTCAGCCTTACAGAACTTCTTTGACCATTTATAATTCTCAACGCTCGATTCTGGATTCTTTCAAACTTATCCTGATTGGTATTAGATGGCTTCAAATAAATGGTATTACAGTATGTCATTATTGGTAATATCATTTTATAGATTGTTTCTGCTGTTGATGGACTGACGTTCTGTCTTATTCGATTCAGAAGTTTAACTCTTGATGTTGCTTTCTTTATTGTCTTCTCCAGATGTTCAACATAATTTAAATTCTTATCCATTATAACACCTAGATATTCGTACACTTGCGATTGCACAATGTTGACTCCACCAACTTTTATTTCCAATGGTCTTGAATTGGAGGTTTTATGATGAGTACCATAAAGAACACATTCTGTCTTTGAACGTTTGAGGTTAATTACCAGACCGTTTTGAATAAACCAGTTGGAAATCTGTTCCAGGTCGCTGTTGAGATGTTCTTCAATTCTTTCACAAGTTCGATTGGCACAATATATGACAGTGTCATCAGCATACAGGATGACTTCACACCTTTTTAGATGAATGTCAATATCATTGATTAAAAGAACAAATAACAGTGGACCCAAAATTGAGCCTTGTGGCAAGAAATTGGCTGAACCAATGATTCAACACCCTCAAATACGACAAATTGTGTTCTGTTAAGAAGATAATCTTTGAACCACAAAAGTTCTGCGTTCCTAATGCCGTAAATGGTCATTTTCGACAGTAAACGAGCATGGTCTACGGTGTCAAACGCCTTTCGTAGGTCGATAAAAATTGCACCAGTCATTAAGCCTTTATCCATATTTTGTCTTATGGAATCAGAAAATTTTGTAACGGCATGTTGAGTTGATGATTTGTTTCGGAAACCAAATTGATTATTTGAAAGATTATTCTCTTCAAGATATGCATACAGTTGGCGATGGACCACATGCTCAAACACTTTGGAAAGCACCGGTAGGATAGAAATCGGCCTGTAGTTGTCCTAAAGTGATCTTTCTTCAGACTTGTATACCGGTGTAATCTTTGCACATTTTTCTGCTCATGGGAATAGAGAATTTTCTAAGCATGGGTTAATTAGGCTTGCTAATGGTTCAGCCAATATATCCGCACCATCTTTTACAAATGATGCTGGAATTTCGTCATACCCTTGGGCTTTCTTTCTGTTCAATTTCTTCATAACATCCCTGATTTCTTGACGGCTGACCTTCTGAAATGTGAAAGTGCAGTTTTGGGGATTTAGTTTACATTTGGAATGTGAGTGATCGTGGTGTGTCCAGGCTATATCTGTCAGCTTTGGTAGAGCGTCCTGCAGCCTTTTTCCAATGCTGGTGAAGAACTTGCAGAAACCATTCGCAACCTCCTTTACGTTAGACGTAGGCCTACCATCAACGTTAAAAACTTTAGAACCGGCTTCTCTTGAGCCCTTCGTTGGGAAACACTTTTTTATTTGATTCCAGAATTTCCTTGGTGCATTGATGTTTTCTCTAAAAATCTGTCTCATGTAATTCCCTTTGCTTTGTCGGATTAATCGCGTTACATCATTTCTAAGACGGCGATAGGTGGACCAGTCGATCTCTTTACCCGACTTTCTCGCCTTTCTGAGATAATAATCTCGTTCGTGGGCCTTTGTTTTTATTTCATTTGTAAACCAGGGGCTGTCTCGACCACGCACTCTTTTCTTGATTAGTGGGGCATGTTTGTCTATTACCGATTTCAAGAGGCTTTTGAAAATATCCCACGCCTTATTAATATTGGATTCATACGTTATGACTGTCCAATCTAAATTACATAAATCTGCCTTATAATTAGCCTCATTATACTTTGCAAAATTTCTCGTGTATATTGTTCTTGGTTTGAATTTACGATTGTTTTTCTTCATAATCTTCCCCACGAGGTCATGATCACTGATAGAATTTGCATATGTCATAGTCTTAAAGATGTTTTGTTCATGACTGGTTGCTATGATATCAATAAGTGTGCTTGAGTCTTTTGTCACCCTAGTTGGTTTTTCAATTATCTGCTTTAGGCCATTTGTGCTAATGATACGCTTTATATTTCTATCCTTCGATTGTTGTAAATAATCGGCATTCATATCTCCTACTAAAATGGTCTCTTTATTCTCGCACACGCTAATATTTATCATGTCCTCGAATACGGTTTCGAACTGAGGATGTAGGTATTTTGAAGTAATTGGCGGCCTGTATATGTTACAAACAAGAAGAGATCTTGCATTTTTAATAAAGATCTCCAACCATATCGCTTCAACGCCGTCATTTTCTAAATCTGTTCGTCTTTGCCATCCTAAGTCATTGCGAATAAAACAGCCCACTCCACCGCCAGGACCGTTCTTTCTGTCCCTATGAATAAATGTATATCCGTCAACTTTCACCTCCTCGTGCATAATGTCAGCATTCAAATGCGTTTCGGATATCCCCAATATATCAATTTCCCCGCTCATCTCCTTGAGCAAGTTATCAATCATATCAATTTTCCGTGTCAGGCCATTCACATTCTGATGAAATATCTTCAGGCCTCTAGCCTGGAGAAACGTTTTTACACCATCGTACAGTGTGTTAGACATAACAGACTCGTTGGTTTGAGTTTCGTTAATATTCACACAGTCCGGACAATACAACTTCTCATGGCCATATTCAAGCACATCAACGAGGCATTTCAGATGGCATTTACTTTTGCATTGACAACAAATATCTGAACTTTGGTTTTTCCGTATCGTCTTATTACAGCTAATGCAAGCTACACTTGGACCAGGGCAGAGTTCAACATCTCCAGCCAGAATCAACAATAGGCTTAAGCCAGAATATGACTTTCGACCTAAGTTAAAGCCTCTTTCTTGCTTATAAATCCACAATGAGGTCGTAATGCGAGAATTATATACATCCGTAACTTCTCCAGCATCAGACGAATAACAGACTGAATTTGCACTGGCAAAAGATTGCTTCTTAACATTTGTCAAAACAAAAATCAGAAGAGCGATGTTTATTGCTGCCGCCATGATGAAAGGGCCAAGTAGTTCGACACGGTGTGGAATTTTTGTGGTATATTTAGTTTGTTTGTTCTCAGGGAAAATATTTTTTGAAGAGTCGCTAGGGAGTGTAATATAGAAGTCTGCGTTGTTCATGATTCAAGTTATAAATGAATAATAATGATAAGAATACATTTTAAATATCTTTTACTTGAGAAGCAGGGACCCACAAGTTAAATTTCGCAGGATATCCCATCCATTTTACAAAATATTCCTCTTTTTTACCTTTCCCCCTCTTTTTTAAGATTTCCTCAACTTCATAAATATCGTCTTCCTTAATTACTCTTTGTAATTCTTCCTTATAAAATGTCCCTTCTAACTCCTCTTGATCATAATCTTTTCATTTATAAACAGGGGGATCGCGCGGTATTTGTTTACTAATGGTAAAAATTTCCTTTGATAAAGTAGGTAAATATCCTTTTTCGAATTTACGTTTCATTTTACTGATTCCCAATATTAAATTTATAAATAACTTTTTTCCTCTTACGATCTCCATATAAGGTATGCCATACTTCTTGTTCGTTTTTTAAATTTACATTAATTGGTTTCTTTTTAATGCTACGATGTTTACTATTATTATAAGAAGATATTAAGTGTGGTAATATATCAATATATCTCTTGGTCTTCTTTGCTGTAAAGTAACGCCACATCTTCGTCTTCAAGGTACGAATTACACGTTCCACAATTGACGCCTTAGTCTCATTGTAAGTGTTGTATAATTGAATTTCCTCCTTTTTCATTAATGCTTTAAAATGTTTATTGAAAAACTCCGTACCCTGATCTGTTTGAATTTTGTGTGGTTTTCGTTCAGATTTTAAGATAGTTTTAAATGCGTCAACCAATGTGGGTCCTGTTCTATCTTTTAGTGGTATAACCCATGTAAATTTTGAAAATACATCAATACAAATAAGCAAGTATCGATATCCATCATTCTCTTTAGCTATAGACTGCATGTCCGCTAAATCCATCTGCCATAATTCATCTATTCCTCCGACAATGACTCTGTTCCTACCAAAGTGGCGACGTGCTGGTTTATGTAGAGTATAAGTATCTTGTTTCATCAACCATTCCTCAATCTTATCTCTAGAAATATAATATTTCCCCTCTCTCTTCACATCGTTATATAATCGTTCCACACCACCGAGTCCCCCAACACGTTTGGGGTTATAATAAATACTGGAGAGATACTCATCCATTGCCTTCCTCTTCTTCTTTAATTATGTGTAGACTAGAAGATAGTCTTATAGGTTCTTCATATTGTTCTTCCTCTTCTATTATAGTCTCTTCTATTATAGTTTCTTCTTTAATAGTAGGCAATCGTTGTTGTTGTTCGATATTTATTCCTTGCCTATTAATAGGTTTATAATCCTTATTTATTCTAACCGAATATCCTACCTGAAAATTACCTTCGGTTTTTAAATCTTTATGACCTAAACTTAATCCTACTTTACATGCAGCATGTTTCTCTATATTTTTATTTAATCTCGTTTTTGATTTTTTTGCTCCCATGTTTACAACGTGAGGTTTTAATCATTTTGAAATAATATATTATACATGCTCTTCTTAAGTAAGGATTCCAGGAATTTTTATTCATTTATAAACCACTCATAATGAAGAGAGGATATCCTTATTCACACGGTAATCTTCATTTTGGGTATGAGTATGAGTATAGACCTAAAAGTGCAAAAGGAGGTACCGGTGAACACGGTGAGATAGGGCATGAAGGACCTAAAGGAGATGCAGGACCTAAAGGAGATGCAGGACGTGTACGACCTACAGGTCTACCAGGGCGAAAAGGAGATCCGGGACCGCAAGGACTAAAAGGTGATCAAGGTTCGCAAGGACCACAAGGACCACAAGGACTACAAGGACTAAAGGGCGATCGAGGACCGCAAGGACTGCAAGGATTAAAAGGTGATCAGGGTTTGCAAGGACCCGTAGGGCAGCAAGGATCACAAGGAGCGGGGGCGACAGCAGCAAAAGGTGATAAAGGCGAACGAGGGCATGTAGGACCTGTAGGACCCCAAGGACTTCAAGGAGATCAAGGACCTCAAGGACCAACTGGACCTCAAGGACAGGATGGTGCAAGAGGCTCCCAAGGCCCGCGCGGTGTTAAAGGGGATCGCGGTACAAAAGGGGATCAGGGTCTACAGGGTCCAAAAGGTGATAAAGGCGATAAAGGTGATAAAGGTAGCACAGGAGATCAAGGACCACGCGGAGGTGATGGTAAGAAAGGGGATAGAGGTATTCAGGGGGATCCAGGTGTAAAAGGTGATACAGGTAACGCTGGACCTAGAGGTCCAAGAGGAGCACCAGGACCCACAGGACCCGCAGGACCTATAGGGTCGCAAGGACCTACGGGACCGCAAGGACAACCAGGCACAGCTGTGGCAAAAGGTGATAAAAGAGATAAAGGCGATAAGGGCGATAAAGGTAATGAAGGAAATCAAGGGGTACGGGGTCCTCCAGGGCTTGTGGGACCTGCAGGTCCTACAGGCCCTAAAGGGAGCAAGTAAAGGAGCAACAATTTATACCCTATTGTAATAACACATGTTTTTAATATTACAACACGTGTTTTTATTTTAAAAACACTTGCTCTTCCCTCTCAACAACGTGTTTTTATTTCAAAAACACTTGCTTTTTCCTCTCGACACGTGTTCTTATCCTTTTAGCACGTGCTTTTTAGAGTTCTCTTGAAAAAACACGTGTTAATAAAAACACGTGTTAATAAAAGAGAAAAAACCTCCTATTCACAATCTTTCTAAAGATGAAATGCTTACACAGTAAAGAAGCTGTTGTCTCCGAAAATGGATTGTTCTGGATTTGTGGTGAAGCAAATAATAAGAATTGTAAACTCTCCTGCTCAGAAGAAGATGCTTTCTTATATGAAAAAGGAATTGAAAAGTTTCTAACAACCTTCCAAAAACAACCCACATGTTGTAATGGAAACCTAGCAAAATTGAGAATGGTGAAAAACCCAGAGAAATCGTCCTATGGTCGACCCTTCTTTGTATGTTCTAAAGATAAGAATCCTTGCAAATACTACTTCGAATGGGGTGATGTGTACATAAATGATGATAGACCGCAATGTCATCATGGTGAACGAAGTAAACTACAAGTGGTTAAAAAAGAGAGCTCAAATAAAGGTCGATCCTTCTTTTGATGTCCCGAGCCGCAAGAAAAATTGTGTAATTTCTTCATGTGGTACGAACCACCCACCCCCACAACCGAAGCAAAAGGAACCCCCGGGACCGAAGCAAGAGGAACCCCCGTGCGTAGATTGATAAGAAAGAAAATAGGAACATATACTAAGAAGAAAGATGATGAGGATAGTGATGATGATGAAACGCATATAGAGAGCAGTCAGCGCAGTCAGCTTTTCCAAACCACCCCGGGAGGGCCTTGTACATTTGGATTCTATCCCCAATACTACCGACGTTGTGATGAACAAGAAGAAGAACCAAAGAAAAAGAAGAGAAATGTAAATTATAGCTACCATGACGAGGATGGTGATGATGAGTCTTAAAAACTATGACATTAAAAACTTTGATAAGTCTTAAGAAACTTGTTATGTAAACTTCTTTATAAATAAAAAAATCTTTCTTAAAAATTATGACATTAAAAACTTGTTATGTAAACTTCTTTATAAATAAAAAATCTTTTATCTTTTATCTTTTATCTTTATAAATAAAACATTTGTCAAGAAACACCAACTGTCACGTGAGTGCGACAGAATCCCATTACCATAAATATTTATTCATGACGCAATAAAAGGAAAACTCCTAAAATAAAAAGGGAAATCCCCAATCAATAAGATATTAAACATAACGTAATAAGAAAGGGAAATCCCCAATCAAGAGGATATTAAACATGACGTAATGAGAAGGGAAATCCCCGCTACCGAGATATTAAATTCTAAAAACATGAATATTTTATTAAACATGAATATTTTATTAAACTATAAAACGATATAACAAACAATAACAAACTATGAAAAAATTATATGTTAAGACCTATAAATCGTAAATCTTGTAAATCGTTCTCTAAATCTTTAAAATTACTATCATCCTCGACGATATTAAACAATATAATAATATAACAAACAATAACAAACTATGAGAGATTATATGTTTATATATTAAAATCCATAAGCTCAATAACTCGTAAATCGTCCTCTAAATCCTTAAAATTACTATCATCCTCGAAACACTCCCAGTCAAGCAGTTCAACTTCAAAATCGAAATCCTGGTAATATTGCCTAATATCCTCATACGGATCAAACATTGGCGTCTCGCTTCCGTCTCGCTCGTTGTTGTTCTCGCCGTTGTTTTCGCTTTGCTCGCCGTTGTTGTTTTCGCTTCGCTCGCCGTTGTTGTTTTCGCTTTGCTCGCCGTTGTTGTTGTTGTTGTTGTTATTGTTCTCGCCGTTGTTCTCGCCTCGTTCGCCCTTGTTGTTGTTGTTGTTGTTGTTGTTCTCGCCTCGCTCGCTGAAGTTATTCTCGCTGTTGTTGTTATTAACAATGTTGTTAATATTCCTTTCAACCATTGTTATTTCATTCTCAATATTCAAAACTTCACACACGTCGTCAATTGAGTTTTGTATTGTGTTCATACTTAATCCCGTATTATCATATAACCGTATCTTCCAGTCCATTGTTTTTGTTATATCCTTTATATTCGGGTTTGCTTTTATAACCTCGCGATACACTCTTGTATACTCGTAATAAATGTATGGATATTTCTCTTTGACCCAAGAGCTCAATGGTCTGTTGAATTTCTCCTCCCTCCTCGCTCTCTCCTTCCTTAACTTCTCGCGCTCGTTTCTATCGATTGTACTCTTTCTATTAATGTGCGCTTGATTCTTTAATGACAGTTCTCAGTCACCATGCCACACTACTCTCACTTGGCTGTCAATTAAAAATCATTGCTTTTATAGGTTAGGAGGGGGATAACCTAATTCTGCAGGACGGACTTATGCGTAAACATTAAAATAAAAACATGTGTCCTTATATAAAGACGCGTGTTTTTAAAATAAAAAAACGTGTTTTAAAATAAAAACACGTGCTATTAAACTATAAAAAGCACCATAGTTCGCCCAACTAAACATTGTCGAAAAAGATGGAAAATATTGTAGGTCTAATCGATATGGATGGATTCTGGATAGAAAAGAGTTTCTATTGTAAAGAATTGGGATTAATGGGAATGGATTACCTAGAAGCATTATCGTTCCTCTTTAAAATACCGTATGAATGGGAAAAACTAAACATGAAGGACAAGAAATATTGCTCATACGTTACTAAACACATTCATAAACTCCCATTCCATGGTCCTGAAGGAATAGTCCTCCGTGAAGCAAACAAAATCGATGCTATAGTCGAGTCATTCTACGAAAGCGTGAAAGAAGATGAAAATAGCTCTATGGCATATAAAGGGGGCTGCATTGAAGGAAACCTATTACAGAAAAACAACATTCCACACATTAATCTGGAAATATTTGGATTCCCGAAACCATCTCAAATTGTCCGGTGGATTCTGGCCGACGGGTGTAACACAAATAATAGGGTGATTTAGCATGAGGACGTGAACGTCAAAGACGACGTGAAAATGGCGAGTAAATGGCGTGGCATGTCCATATTTGGGCGCATCACGCCATTTATTCGCCATTTTCACGTCGTCTTTGACGCTCACGTCCTTGTGCTAAATCACCCTAATACCTGGATGAAGACCTCCGAAAATCACTTAGAAAAAAACGCATAGGAACACTGTCCGAAATCAGAATTAGAAATAATTAATAAATGGATTGATGAATATAAACAAACATTCATACTTATGTTAATAATGTTAATGATGTATTCATACTTATGTTAATGTTAATGTTAATAATCTTCATTAAACATATCGGAGATATCTATATTAAAAGCTGTTCCATCAAACATATCCATTAAATGGTTCCATATCCATTAAATGGTTCCTTGCTAATCTGTCCCATCTCCTCGGCTCCTTAAAAATAACAACGTCCCTCAGCATGTCATCAATCTTGTTACATACAATAAATGTGGTAAATAAACCACCGCCCGCATTCATAAAACCAACATCCATTAATTTGTCATACATAACATCGAGATAAACACTTTTAACTCCATTCCTTATTGACTTATAACTTTGATTCCTTAAACACACACCATAAAGATTACTCTTAACTTGAACAATAATCTTACAATCAAACATTTCAACAGGTAATCTCAAAACAAACTTATGTTTACATGTTATATATGATTTAAAAATATTACTTGGGTGTGTAGTAAAATAAATAGGTATCTCGATACAGTAGTTCCCAGGTGAAATATTTGCATAATCTGTGAGAATCTCCTTCACATCGTTCTTCAAAATATGATGAATGAAATATATAGATACAGGTCTCAACGCCTGCACCAATTGATTTCTAAACAAATGTACTCTAAGGACAAATATAAAAGCAAGAAGAGAGTCGATATCCAGGGGAGGAACATAAATCTTCTGTTGAAATATATCCTTAATATCCCTCGAAGTAGGTTTCTTTTGACTAAATATAACATCCTCAATCTTATTTACTATTCCATTCACACTCCAAGACATACTCAGAAATTGTTGAAAATCTCCAAACAAGTCTGATTTTCCGCTTCGCTGGTCCACAATCTCACACACTGGGACTGTATATAATTTTACATTTATTCAGGAATCAACTTCACAACAATTCACGCTCTGATACACAACTAACTTACAACAATGATTTCAACTTATATTTATAATACTAAAACAGGATGCTTTAACAAACAATGATGCGTTTCTCTGACGCATCTCTTACCGAACCACAGGATGTTTTTCTGTGGTTTTTTTTCTCCCCTACAGCCCACATTTGCGTCCGTTTACGTTATTACTGGTTTTGCGGTTGCTACAACGTGCTACCTCGAACCTTCATTTCCTATGTTATATTATACTACACTATTCTATTAACATTACATAACAATTCCTTTTACAATACATATACAATTTTACGACCCTAACACTATATCTGCGCACACTATGTAAATCACTATTCTTATGGTTGGTGTGCTCAACCACGCGTTAACTAAATTCCACAACAGAAATATCACAATAATAATAAGAAAAAACACCCTTATACATACCATAAAACACATGCTCTTATTTTAAAAACGCTAAATATATTAAAAAACACTCTACATATATTTTAAAACACGTGCTTTTTTTACTATCGATTAGAATATATACCAAATCGTGTTGAAAAATACCAACTCAAACATATCCTCACTAATCTATCACATTTCATGTCATCTCTAAAGAGCAACACCCTTTGTAATACATCATCCACATTATCACATAATAAAAAGACTTTCATAGACGAACTCGCAGTTATAACCTGTCCAGTAATAGCATAATCATATGGATACATATGTACACGAGTCATGTCATTATAAAGAGTCTTCACCATATCTCGTATCACTCTATAATTAGGATTC